CTCAACTGTGATCAAGGCTATGGGGGAAAGTTACCAGACTAGCTGTTGTACATGGTTACTTCTCATCCATCTGTGTGTGCTTGGAAAGAATGTATACATCTCAGTTTTTAGGACCATATTCTACATACCCATCTTGTAACAGGAATGATTTTATTGTTTGTTATCTTTTATATCCTTTGTGTTTTCTTCCTTTCTATCCAGGTACCAAAATGGGAAGAGGTATTCATTTTCACAGAGATCACAAATTTACCAATTTCTCTTATTAAATTAATTTGACAAAAGATTTCTTTTCTATGAACTGAATCTATTGTTTTTAGATCCATTCACATTTAGAATTTAGTGTTCCCTAGAAAATTAAATCTTTCACCATTAATTAGTGACTTCCTTATTAAGACTATATGTATATGTATATATGATGCAGGGCACCAGAATCAAATACAGTGAAAACAGAGGTTATACCATGGAGGAACATATGAAAGAAACAAAAGAAATCACATAGTACATTTTAAGTACATTGGAAACAACAGTAACTAAGATAAAAGCTCTTGTGTCTCTATCTTGGGGTTCATTTTGCTTACCACCATCTTATATGGTCCTATGTGCATAATTTTTGACCTTTTCTACTTGACAGATACTATTTTATATAATTTACCATTAATAGTCTCTTTTACTTTCCTTCTCACTCTAGTCCCATCAACGAGTTCCACAATTTAAAAAGTGCTCTGTGTGTGTGTGTGTGTGTGTGTGTGTGTGTGTGTGATGCTATATGTATTTATGTATGTATTTATCTGGTGAGCACACATTAGACCTCAGCCGCTGCTTTTTCTTTTGTCATAGAGCTTGAAGTCTGGGCTTGAAAGTTGCCCCTCAGCTCTTCAGCGCAAGGCTAGTGCTCTACCACTTGAGCCACAGCTCCACTTCCAGCCACTGCTTTTTTCTTTATACTGCGTCTGATGCATGAAGGACAAATACATGAGAAATTCCCATTCAATGTCTCTTTTTTTTCATGATTCGAATCTCTGAGATGAATATAATGATAGTCTTTTAAGGTAGAATTTCTGTTTAATACTTTTCTCTTCGGTTTTCTAACCTGTTATTTATTCTATTGCGTATCTAATTTAATCACTGCAATTTTAGTTTCTGAAAGTTTTATTTGGTTGTTTTTAAAATTAGATTAGAACTTTCAATGTTTTTGTTTTAGTTGTATTTTAATAGTAACTTTAATACTTTAATGCATACAATAAGTTTTGCATATTTATCTGATAAGTTTTGCATATTTATCTGTTATTTGAACTTCCGTGGCCTTTGTTATCTGTTTACTTTCTAGTGACAGCTTATTTCCTAGCATTTTGCTTAAATTTTATTATAAATGTGATGTACAGAGGGGTTACAATGACATAAGTCAGGTAATGAATACATTTCTTTTTGAACAGTGCTACACCCTCCCTCATTTTCTCCCACCTTTTTCCCTCCCATCCACCTTCCCCCAAGTTGTACAGTTCACTTCCAACATAGTATCTGCTGGGTTTCAGTGCTGAATTAGTTCACCCTTTGTCCCATTGTTTCTGTGCTTCCCCTTCCTTCCCCAAATCAGATAAACTTAAATACAAGACAAAGGGTACAGAAAGCAAAAACAGTGACAAAAGGGAATAAACCAAAGGGAAAAAAGAAAGAAAAAAATTACTGCAAACAGTACTTTTGTTTCCATTTCTTGGAGTTCATTTTGATAAGCACCAATTTCATATAGTCATATGCACATAGTATTGAGCCATTGTGATTGTCTCCTAAAAATATCCTCACTGTGTGAATGCTTAGAATGCTGTTTAATTAATCTTGTGTAATTAATTAATCAAGTGTAATTATTTGTCTTTTGTTATTCATTGGATTAATGTGTAGATTTATAGATGTATTCTAGTTGTTACAAGTGGAGGAACCATGAAACCTATATTTCTTTGGGCCTGGCTTACTTCACTTAATATAACTTTTTCCAAATCTTTCCATTTCCTTACAAATGGGGCAAACTCATTCTTTCTAGTGGAAGCATAGAATTCCATTGTAAATATATATACATATATATTTATATAATATATTTATATATATCACATTTTCTTAATCCATTCCTACTGAGAAGCATCTGAGTTGACTCCATATCTTAGCTATGGTAAATAATTCTGCAGTGAACATGGTTGTGTTGGTGGCTTTAGTGCTGGTTTGGAGTCATTTGGGTTAAGAGTATGATTGCAGGATCATAGGGGAGCTCTATGTTTAATCACTTGACGAACCTCCATATTGCTTTCCAGAGTGGTTAAACAAGATTACATTCTCACCAACAGTGTAGTAGCATTCTCTTTTGGCCACCAACAACTGTTATTATTTGTTTTCATGAAAATGGCCATTCTAACTGGAGTGAGTTGGAATTTGCATTTCTTTTATGGTCAGAGATCAAGTATTTTTTCATGTGTCTATTGGCCATTCTTATTTCTTCTTCTGAAAAGTCTCTCTTAATGTCTTTATCCCACTTATTAATGGGGTTGTTGTTTCTTTAAGGATTTGTTTTTAGAAGGTTTAATTTTTTGAGCTCTAAGTATATTTTAGATATGAGGCCCTAATCAGATGCATAGCCAGTAAAGATCTTCTTTCATTCTGTGGGCTTTCTATTTATCTTGCTATGTCATTTGCCATGCAGAAACTCTTTAGTTTGATGCAATTCCATTTATCCAACCTTTCTATGATTTGTTGTGATTCTGGATCTTTTTTTTTTTTTGGGTCCGGTCATGGGGCCTGAACTCTGGGCTGGGGCACTGTCCCTCAGCTCTTCAGCCCAAGGCTAGCACTCTACCACTTGAGCCACAGTGCCACTTCCGGCTTTTTTCTTTTTGCTTATGTGGTGCTGAGGACTCGAACCCAGGGCCTCAGGCATGCAAGGCAAGAGCTCTACCACTGAGCCACCTTCCCAGCCCAGTGATTCTGGATCTTTACTTAGGAAGTTTCAATCTATGCTAAGGAGCCCTAGTGTTTCCCCTATCCCTTCCTGTAATATTTTCAGGGTATCTGGTCTTATATTGAAGACTTTAATCCATTTGGAATTGATTCTGGTGCAGAGTGATATGCAAGGATCTAATTTCAGTTTTCTGCATGTGTAAAGCCAGTTCTGCCAGTACCATGTGTTGAAGAAGCTGTCTTGCTTCCATTCTGTATTTTTGGCTCCCTTATCAAAGATTCAGTGGCTATAGGTCTGTAGATTAATCTCTGGGTCTTTGATTCTATCTCATTTGTCCTCAGGCATATTTTTAAATTTTAAATATAACCATGTATTTCTTGGGATGCTAGTTTTTTATGACTTAGCTTTGAGAAGGCAGAAAAGAACATAGATATGATAAAGGCATAATACATGTGTGTATGAAAATGTTGCAGTGAAACCTAATTTATTCAGTTAATGTATATACATAATTACAATTTTTTAATAGCTGGTATTCAAGTGTTTTTTTTTTTTTTTTTAATCAGAGTTTTCATTGATCTTTACTAAACCTTCATATACTTTCAAAAGTGTGTTCTCAGTTTGGTCAATGCAATTAGAGCCCACAAATCCTCTTGAACATGGAATTCTGATTATGAAATTTTAGAATATATATATGAAAATATACGGCTATATATTCCAGTGTATGTGTCTACATTTGTGCATGCATACATGTATACTTGAATGTGTGTGTCAAACTCTAGTGTTGAGCTACATCTTCAGCCTAGAAGATGGTTTTTAATCATATCAGTGAAAATAGAGTAAAAGGTCCCCAAATTTATGTACTTTCCTCTTCTAACAGGTACTACCCACTTGCCCCCTCGCCCATTTTTGAGGATCCATGTCTTATTCATTGATGCTGGATCTTACTGTATACTTTGCCTATGATCTTGACTATTGACCTTGACTTTGTTACTTATTCTTGGTTGGGGTTTGTGTGAATGGAGGTCTACCTACTCCAGTGCTCCTTCTCCTCTTTTGTGCCTGCTTTCCACTATGGTTTTCTTATGCAGTCTTTCCAATATAGCCATGCATTCAAAATCACTTTTTTTCTAATACTCTGACTGTAACTTATAAGATGCCCACAACTACTATTTCATCAGTCACTATTTTGTCTTTCCACTGTATTAATATTATCTTTTTATTTTTGAATATTTTATTGAATATATTGAAAATATATTTCAATATTTATATTGAAAATATAAATACCTAAGGTAGAACATATTTTATTTTTTAATATATTTTATTGTAGAAATACTGTACAGAGGGCTAACAGTTACATAAGTAAGGTAATGAGTGCATTTCCTATAGAGAATTGTTACCTGTTCCTTTGTTTTTCCCCTACCATCCCTTCCCTCTCCACCACCCCAACTCCTCCCTCCCCCCCACCTCCTCCCTCCCCCCTCCAAATTGTAAAGTTCACTTTCAACATAGTGTCTTATACACCTCATTGTTACAATGGGTCAACCTGCATCCTTATTTCAGCATTTTGTTATTTCCCTTCCCCTCCTCAAATTAGAAAGCATGTATATACAAGATTCAGGGCACTAGAGAACAAGGGTTATACCATGAGGAAAAACATACAAGAGAAACAAAATAATCACACAGTACATTATAAGTACATTAAAAACAACAGCAACAAAGATAAAAACCTCTTGTGTCCCTATCTTGGGGTTCATTTCACTTAACATCATCTTATATGGTCCTATGTACATAGCTTTTGACCTTTTCTGCTTGTCCTCGACTTATACTAGTTATTGCAAATAAGGGAAACCATGGGACCTATGTTTCTTTGGGCCTGGCTTACTTCACTTAATATATTTTTTTCCAAGTCTTTCCATTTCCTAACAAATGGAGTGATATCATTCTTTCTGATGGAGGCATAGAATTCCACTGCATTACATTTTCTTGATCCATTCTTCTACTGAGGGGCATCTGGGCTGGTTCCATATCTTAACTATGGTAAATAATGCTGAGATAAAAAAAATACATGGAAAATTTCACAAATTTGCGTATGATCCTTGCACAGGGGCCATGCTGATCTTCTTTGTATTGTTCCCATTTTAGTATATGTGCTACCGAAGTGAGCACTAATACTATTTTATCTTATTCCCTTGTTTTTTGAATATTTTTCCACAGGTTATATATAAACAAAAGTTGTACTCACTGAAATAAAGTTCAATGAACTTTACCTTTAATTTTGGTTAATCAATGATTAGTGGATTTTGCTGGGTGCCAATGGCTCATGCCTATAATCTTCAGAAAGCTGAGATCTAAGGATTTCAGTTCAAAGCCATCCCTGTCAAGAAAGTCCATGAGACTCTTATCTCCAATTAAGCACCAAAAAGCCAGAAATGGAGTTGTGGCTCAAGTGATAGAGTGCCAGCCATGAGCAAAAAAAAAAGCAAAAAAAGGTGCTCAGATCCTGAGTTCAAGCCCCTGGACTGGCATGCAGGCACACACACACACACACACACACACTCACACACACACTCACACACACACACACACACACACACACACACACACACACAGAGGACTTTAAATTTTTCTAACCCAAGTGGCTCAAATGCTAGAGTGCCAATATTAAGCACTGTTGGGGAGGTAGGAAGGGAAAATAGGAGAAAAATGAGGGAAGGGGTAACAAATTTGACAAGAAATGTGCTTATTACATTAATTATGTAACTGTAAGCTCTCTATACATCACCCAGGCAACATTTTAAGGATCCAAGACTAGTGTCCTTCTCTCCTTACACTTACTTCACTATCCAGCTTTGGTCTGAATAGACAAATGTGATTTAACAATTTTAAATGCAGCATTTAATCTGAAAACATTTTAAACACTTGGGGAAAATGCATGTTTCCCTTGAGATGTTCACAGTGTTCTGCAATGATACATAATTAAAGAAAACATGTTAACAATGACATGACAATATAATTAGTGATACAACATAACACAATACCAAAATGTATGAGAACAGTCCTAAGTGAACAAAGAAGGGGACTGAACTGATAGAGGAAGCTCACAGTCCTGAAGGTCAAGTAAATACAGTGGTACAGGGAAGAAAACAAGAGCAGAAGTCATGAAAGGAATGAGCATATGTATTCTGCACATGAAAGTGATCTTTTTTTAATTTTATTTTCTTGTAAAGGTGCTGTGCAGAGGTGTTACAATTACATAAGTAAGGTAATGAGTACATTTCTTGTTGAACATTGTTACCCACTCTTTCATTTTTCTTCCACTATCCCTCCCCCAACCCCTGGATTCCCCCACATCTCGAAGTTATAACATTCATTTCCAACCTAGTGTCTTGTGAGTATGGCTGCTGCATTGGTTCACCATTTGTCCTTGTCTCGCCATTTTGTTTAATAACGAAATCAACAAAATGAAGGTGATTCTGTACAGCCTCTTGAGAGAGTCTCCCTTGACTTTTCTGCTATAGCTGTCTTAGAACCTTGATCCTCCTTTCTCACAGATAGGATGATAAATACAAGCCACTTCACCCAGACATTGGTTGAGAAGCATAACTTTGTGCCTGAGATGGCCTCAAACCACAATGTTTGCATCTTAGCCTCCAGAGTATCTGGGGTTATAATTATAAGCCAACAGCCCTGGGCAGAACTACATATTTCCTTTTAATGGAGAAGCCCTATAACTGAGTAGATCAAAATTACTTGAAATCTATAATGAGATTTCAGAGAAATTTGAATCTCCTATACAAAATAACATAGGATTTGGTCAAAGCAAATGCTAGTTCATATCTGTCTGCTGAGTCGCCCATATATACCCTAAGTGATTTCAAAAGCATTTCATGACTCCATGGAAGTTGATTGTACACATAATCCTTTTTCCTCATGCACATGTAAATTTTGCATTTCAAAATACTGGGTTTCTTTCACTTCCAATGGGAGTTTTTCACACAGTCTATAAATCTTGCTGTTAAGGCATTTTCCTTCATTATCCTAAATTTATCTTAATTTCAATCCAATTAAAAACTGTTTACTAGAGTTTCCCCCTTATATAATTGAGCACAGTGTAGTTGATTTTTTAACTGTAAACATACATCTGTGAATAATTCCTAAGCCACAGTGTATAGGAGATCCTGAGGCATAATGGAAGTAATTTATTTCCAAATTGCTCCCATTTCTCTTATGACTGGCTTGCAAAGCTTTATTAAAATCAAGTCCAGCAGGTATGACAAGAGGCTGACCTTCTTTCTTAAGTGCTATGAATACTGCTTGTGCAAAGTTGTCCTGAGGCTCTTGCATAGCTAAGACATTCATGTATCTCAAAGCAAAAGAGCAGTGATACAAAAACATGTAAAGGCAAGAATACAAAGTAAGTTCACCTCCCATCTATTCCACTCCAGTTGTGTGATGAGAAGAAACTTTTTTAACTTCTCCCCATCCCACCTATCTTATCTGAAAAGTAGAGTAACAATGATAGTTACTTCATAGGACCATTTCAAGGATTCAATGAACGATAAACATAGCATGATCTGCCTCTGAGGAGTTATTACTAACCTAATCATTATTATAGTCAATGTTTACTCAAGCAATAAATAGAGTAGCCACATAGAAGGTAAAACTAAACACCAGCATCTTCATAATAATTACAACAACATGCTCTGCCTGATCTAGTCATCATAGAAGCATATGTCCTTGTGTAGCCAATCAAATCCATTTTTCCTAAGTTCTCATTTCTCCTGGTTCCTAAGCCAGCCAACCGCACTACACTGTGCCTCAGCAGACATTGGTTTTCTATCCATTTGCACAATGTGTCACTTGCATCCGTTTCAATCAACTTGGTATTGAATGTCTGCATTCTGAATGCATGATACTGAGTCAAGATGTATGGAATATGTGTGTATGTATATATTCACAAACTATCACAATATGGTGAAGAGAGAAACATTTAATTAGATGGTTTTAAGTGATAATTGGGGATTAAGGAAAACCTCTTGTCATAGTTCTGGAATAATTCCTTCAATTTTTTAAATACAACTTTGTGTCTAAATTTTTTTTTTAAAGCTATTCAGTGGCAGGCAGGGAATGTGGCTTAATGGTAGAGTGCTTGCCTAGCATTGAAGCCCTGGGTTTGATTCCTAGTACCACATAAACAGAAAAGGCTAGAAATGGCACCGCTGTGGTTCAAGTGGTAGAGCACTATCCTTGAGCAAAATATGCCTAGGGACAGTGCCCAGGCCCTGAGTTCAAGCCCCAGGACTTGCCAAAAAAAAAAAAAAAAGCAATTCAGTGGCTTTCCGTAGTAAGCCACTGAGCTAGGTGATAAAGATATAAAAAAAAAAAAAGTGAGACGGTACATGTGATTTCTGTTTTTGAGGAGCTCTGAAAAAAAGAGAAAAAGAAACAAATTATATTAAAATTTAAATGGTAGACTACAAGAGAGCACAAGGGAGGTGAGGAGGAACAAGATGGTGTTAGGCAAAATGAACCCCAAGATAAGGACACAAGTGGTTTTTTCTTTCTCGCTATTGTTTCTAACGTATTATAAATATAAGGTGATTTGTTTGTTGCTTTGTATGTCCCTCCCCCTCGGTATAACCCCTGTTTTCACTGTATTTGATGTTGGTATAATTTGGGGAGGGGAAGGAAAAAAACAAATTGTTTAAATAGGGATACAGGTGGACCCATTGCAACAATGAGATGTACAAGATGCTATATTGAAAAAACGAACTTTACAACTGTGGCGGGAGGGGGAGAGTGGGGGGTGGGAGATGGGAAGAGATGGGAAGGGGAAACAAAGGAGAAGGCAACAATGCTTGATAAGAAATGTACTCATTACCATGCTCATGTAACTGTAACCCCTCTGTACGGTATTTTCACAATAAAAAAAAACCTTATTAAAAATAAATTTTAAAAAAAGAAAGAAAAAATGGTGACCAGTGGAAGTGGTACCTCAAACTGAAAACAAAGCACAAGTAAAGAGTTGACCAGGTAAACAGACAGGGAGAGGACCAGAAAGGAACAATAAGCTTTATTGGAAAAAATAGTAGGATAGTGCAAGAGCATAGTTCAAGAAGAGCTAGGAGGAAGAGATGCTGATAGAATGTACCACACCATGGTAAGGGGGGTTATATTTTATCTCAAGTACAGTAGGAAGATTTTAAATGTTCAAGTAGGAAGTGAGATGTCAAGACACATAAGCATTGCAGAAAAATCATTCTGCTGATGAATAGGAAGCAGAGTGAAGGACAAGACATGAGTTAGGAAAAACAATTCGATCATTGTAATGGCAATAGCAAGACCCACTGTTGGCCTGGACTCTAGAGAGCAATGATAATAAAGAAGGAGTGCTTTCAAGAGTTATTGAGAGGAGCCAATAAGTGAGTTAGTGACTGAGATGTCGCAGATGCAAGACAAGAAAGATCCAAAGATGATTTGAGATAAGAGAGAGGACACAAAGAACAGAGCAATGCTTCCTGTACCTACCTGTGTGGAGTAGGAGGTAGGAGGGAATATGGCCACTGATGGAAAGAAAATGCCAAGATACACAAGAAACATGAGCAGATAATTCCTTAGGGATGAAGGGTTTGGAAATTGATCAAAGTTAGAGTCGGGATGAAGATTAACAGGGACTGTTGTTTAGAAAATAACTGAAGAGAGATTTCCATTGTCCAGTGCTGCCAGAGCTGTAGGTTGGATTCTTTGCAGTCTTGAGGGCAGAAGAGGCTTTCAGGTAAAGGGCATCTCAATCAATCTACCAGGACCTGCAATTTTTGCCTGAAAATGTACCTGTATATCACGATTCTCCAGCTACAGACATCTGAGGTCATGTCCAGGTCTTGGTTGATTTAAGAATTATTGCTCTAAAAGTATACTTAGAGAAGGCTTGGCCAAGCTATCAGAAATGAATTACTTTCTCTACTCCCTTAAGTTTTCTTTCTTTAACAGAAAAATCATGAGTGCTGGGAGTGAATCTTAGTAGAATGCATGCTTGGTGTGTGTGAGGCCCTGAGCTCAATCCCCAGTAGCAGAAGAAAGAGTGAAGAAGGAAAAATTTGATGCAATCCCTCAAGGCTTTCACTTGTCATAGAGTAGATTCTGATGTAATGTGAGACCTCAAAGAA